AAGGCCCCTGATATAAGGGCATGGAGGCTGCGCTTCTCTCTGTGCCCAGTCCTGCCTCCCTCACTCCTCGCAGGCGTTGTTCCTGCAAGTGCTGCCTCCTGCACACAAGCCTCAGAGTCTATTTCCTGGGGAAACCAACTGGAGAACCAAGGTGGTTTTACTTGCCCAAAAGAAAGACCAAGTCAGGGGTAGATCTGCGATTTGAAAACAGCTTGATCTCAAAGACTGTGTTCTTTCCTCACTGCTGTTAATGTTCCCACCCAACGGCCTCCCATCATTCCTTTTGCAGATGACAGGGGTCTTTATGGAGTCTCTCCAGGTACCAGATCGCAACCACCACCCCCCCGCCCCCGAGGAAATGTGGCCTCCTGGAGAATGTGTAAGCACGTGGATCTAGCACTGGGATGTGTTTTATTTGTCCTGTGTTGTCCTAATAAAAAAAAAAAAAAAGATGCCAGCATTTTAAAAATCATCAGATTTCACTAAAATATACACATTTCCAACTTCTCTTGAAAAATAAGACCAGCCGGTCGTGCGAGGCCACATTGTCACAGGAGCACAATGCCTGCAGTTCAGCAGGGGTGGGCTCTTTGGACACCTCAGGCTGTCCCCGACACAGAGCCTGGGGACAATTGCCATGTATCATGGTGCTGGTCCATTTATTTTCTTTTAATGGAAAAATAGTTCTCTATATGTGTGTCCCTACCAAAAAAGTAGAAAAATAAAAGATGGGCCTGGAAGATATATACGAGGTCTGACAATTAAGTTCGCGAACTTGTTGCAACGCTGTTGCTAGCCTTTTTTGATATCAGAGGGATTATTCATTATGAATTTGTACCAAATGGACAATTAACCAAGTTTACTATTTGAAAGTGCTGAAAACATTGTGTGAAAATGTTAGACGATCTGAAGTTTTTGCCAATAATTCATGGCTCTTGCATTACAACAATGCACCAGCTCACACAGCACTGTCTGTGAGGGAGTTTTTAGCCAGTAAACAAATAACTGTATTAAAACACTCTCCCTACTCACCTGATCTGGCCCCCAGTGATTTCTTTCTTTACCTGAAGATAAAGGAAATATTGAAAGGAAGACATTTTGATGATATTCAGGACATCAAGGGTAACATGATGACAGCTCTGATGGCCATTCCCGAAAAAGAGTTCCAAAATTGCTTTGAAGGGTGGACTAGGTGCTGGCATCGGTGCACAGCTTCCCAAGGGGAGTGCTTCGAAGGTGACTGTAGTGAATTCAGCAATGAGGTATGGAGCACTTTTTCTAGGATGAGTTCTCTAACTTAATTATCAAACATCATATATCTGAAGAAGAAAAAATGGGGGAAATCTCTTGGGGGGAGAGAGTGAGAGGAAAACCTAAGCCTACCAGCTTATTGAGGAAACAAAATGGATGAGTTACAAAAATACATCTTATACGGGCCATTTCACTATCTTCCTGGCACCTATAGAAAGTAAAATTTGGAACCCCTGGTCTATGTACAAGATCAAAGACTGATATTATCAGTTAGGTGTTGTCCACAGTCTAGCAGCTATAGCCTCAGATTTGGAGTATAAGCGAGGAGGGGGTCTGGTCCTTTTTCTGCTGTGATGGGGTCCGATTGGCCAACCTTGGAACCCGCCCAATCTCAGACACCATTTGAAATGTGTTGAATTATCTAGTGCAGCACTAGATAATCTTGAAGGTTCTGTCCAGCTATAAAACCCAAATACCTATGATTTATTTGCTTATTGCTCTGTATGATTAAATTTGCCAGCATAATAAACACACAAGGGTTCAGGTTATGCCAGATATTTCTTTGTATCTCTCACAGTGTAAAATGGAAGGTAAGTGTTGTATCCACGTGGACTGATTAAATGATTGCTCTCCAGAACTTGCAGTTAGAACCTTGTTCACAAAAGGAGAACCTAATACAGACCACAGACGTCAATCAAACGAGAAAGGAAAAAGCAAACAAACAGAAATACATTTGAAATGGTGGGAGCTGCATTCTGCATTAAAGAAAAGTAACCGCAGGTCACAAATGGAAAATGTCGTAACAATTCTGGGGAAAAGGAGTCAAAAATGAGTTTCCTCCAGCATTAGGGCTGCTCATGAACAGAAAAAGCCCTTTGGATGTCTGGAGGGAATTGAAACTCACTACTCTGGAAAATTGATTCATCAGGATGAGAGAAAGTCACAGCTTTCTACTTGAGATCTCCCTCCCACTCTCTGGGCCTCACTTTGCGGCAGAAAGGGATGTGGGGTGTCTGAGATTCATATGAATCACCAGGTTGGCTAAGCCTCCACTACCTCTTTATTATACTTCTTTGCAATTTTCCTGGCATAATTGTTTTAAGAGGATTTTTCCTGAATTATTTCTTCAACCTAAGTGCCTTCTTGGTCTAGACCTATGCCACGCTGCAGGCTCTATGCCATTTTCCTAAAAAAGCCAATTGCTGGATGGCTAATGAATTTGTAACTTTCCTAAAGCCCAGGGAAGTATGGAGGGGTACCATCTTGCTGCTCCTCTTCCCACTCATTTTGGGCTTCAGTGCCACCCAAAAGCCCACGTTCTCACTGATGTCTCTCTGGCACACATCTGAGAAGAGCACCTTGGAGCCACAGTTTCAATTGCTTCTCTTTTGGGGAACAGACCCTCCTTGCTGGGCTGTCCAGAGTTCCCTGCTCCCTGGAGCTCTAGTGAGCAAAAATTTCCCCATCCTGCTACATTTAAATATTTTTTTATAAGGTCAAAGTGCCCAGCACCCTGAGCACGGCATCTATAGGCTTCCTGTACCTGGCACTTGTATTTGATTCTTATTTTAGAATATTAAAGCTGAATAAAAATGTTAATGATGATTTAGCTTACCTCCCTTGTTTCATAGCTAGGAACAACTGAGGCCCAAATTCCTCTAGAATTCCTAAATATAAGTCACCTACTTCAAGCAATGTTCAGAAGAAATAGCTCTTTGTTCCGTATGGAGAACTATCAGCTTTGTTCATACCCAAACCATAAACAATCTACGTTATGGATGATATAAAGGATTTCTCAAGGTAATTCTTTGGAAAGTACTCGATAATTTTGTCCTACACTCTGATATTAGAATTATTGCCCACATAATGTGGAACCCCACTGTATATCATAAGCGTTATGGGACAACTTGTCGGGGTGAAAAATATACCTGGGGACCCAAGAGTACAAAGCAAAGAGGTTTAATGCATTGTGGGAAATTCCTAGAACTACAGCGATTTGGGCCTGGATGAGTCACCAGCAGGGGGTTTGTGTAGCGGGGGAGGTGATGTCTTGCTGGCCAGATAGGGGAGGGTACCGCCTTGTATGGCTGCTGAGGACTTAGTATTTTGTGGTGTGGGTGGGGGGAGTCACTGAGGAGGCCTAAGGAGGGAGGAACTTGGTAGTTTGTTGCTCTGTAGGAAGGTAGAAGACATTTGCAGAGGGGTAATTCTGGAAGCCAAGGAGACATTTAAGAGGCTCTTTACAATGATCCAGATGAGAAATGATGGCTGGAGGGAGAAGATAAGGGAATGGATGGAGACATATTTAGGACAGAGAATCAACAGGACCTCAGAAGCAATTGGATATGGTCAGGGACTAACAAAAAACAGGCAGGTGAAAATTCTATGTGCAAAAAGTCCCTTACTTGGTAATTACCTTTCAAATCATACTAGCTGGAGTTCAATTTTTATATTTAGATTGCAAATCCAACTGTTAATCCCATGCTTTCCACTCCAAATGCCAGAGAATACCTTGGCCAAATTTAAACACAAATTAGTGGATGGCATTCCTAGTAATTCTTTAGTCCTCAACTTAATCACACATAAAATTTTCTAATAGTTTCAAAATCCAAGAGTCATTAAGATCGGAGCCTTTTAGAGAATTAATTTCACTGCTGTTTCCTCTTGTTCACAAGGCTAATTTTAAATATAGCCTTATGATATGTCACAAGTTGGTAATAAGGCCACAAAAAACATAGGTCAATAACTTGAAGATAAAAGAGTCAATGGAGGAACAGTATTCTAATTTACAATTTGGGTAAATATCAGTCAATGCTATTGACAAACTAAACATAGCTCAGAGCTGCAAACCCGAATGCCGACACAGTCCAGGCCTATAGAAAACGGAGTGGAGAAGTTAGGTATGTGTGAGCTGTGCACATGTGTGACGCGGGCTGCAGGAAAATGGGAACACGTGTCTACAGGAACAGCTCCTTCCCCTTTCTAGCCTCTCATTACCAAGCAAGAATGCTGGTGCAAGGTTACCAGATACTCTGGGGTTTTGTAAGGCTAGGTGAAAATGTGGCTAATACTTTTAAAACAAACAAACAATGTTTGAGGGACATATTCAGCCTATGGCCCATCAGCCTGTAGACTCTTGCTATTCAAGATATGGTCCAGGGACAGCAACATCAGCATCACCTGGGAGCTTTGAGAAATGTAAACTCTCAAGCCCCATTCTAGACTTACTCAACCAGAATCTACATTTTTAACAAGGTCGCTGGTGACTAGCATCCACATTCAACTTTGAGAAGTGCTGGCTTCAACGACCTCGTGACCAGAGCCTAGACTGAGAGTTTCTCCCTCTGTCTCCAGAGCAGACATGCAGAGAGTGTCTCTGGTACCAAAGGTGAGCACAGGTTGGTGTTTGGAGACGAAGAAGGCAGCACCCCACTCTAACAGATCCCCTTTGGGTCGACTCTGGAACAGTCACACAGCATGTCTCCTGAAGTCCTCAGGTCCCTGCTGGGGTGATTGGCGTGTCCTATGCAGGGTCAGGGCCAGGTTAAGGCCAGTGAGGCACATAGGTGCAAAATTTAAGAGGGAACCAAAACACTGTGTAATTAAGACGATAATGCAATAATTCCTTAATTTGTTATTACAGTAATTATTATTAATAAAATAATGCTTGAATGCAGCAACTTTAAACATCAAAATTAATACCAAAAATACCCCCATGATGAATAACACATTAAAAATTTCAACCTGCCTCCACTTTGCTCCGCCCTGCTTGAGTTTACTCCATTTTGAAGTCCTCCATAATCCACTGCCTCCTGTTATTCAGGCTTGTCTCTCAAAAGCCGCTGAACAAGACACATAATTTCAAACCTATGAAATAAATTCAATAAAAATTATTTCTGAAGTTAGAAAAATGCTCCATTCCAAGTCTAGGACAGTTTAAGATGCTTCAGCCAAACAGACTAAAACACAATGAAGTGTATTTACTGGTATAGTCTCCGGCTTAGCCAAGGGTCAACTCACTTTCATCCGTTGTCCCCATTATCTGAATGCCAAGCCAGGAGCTGGGGCTGCTATTAAGGAGTGAGACATTGTTTTATTCTTCTGCTTTGGAATTCCAGTAACTTTAGAAGAGGAGATAGGCTGGAAAGGGGGCCTTGGCAAACTGGTAGAGACAAAAATAGCTGGGAAGCTGCCTTTGTGTGTCTATGTCACACGGCGCCTTCCGTTTCAGGGCCAGAACCTGGAAGTGCCTCGGACTACAGGAAAGATGAAACTGGAGGTGGGAATGAATGAATGACCATTAGGCATGTTTCACTTCCTGTCTGGGGAGTCGCAGCTGCAGATAGCAAGAAAACACCAGCTTTTGTTACTGACTCTGTGCAGGCTAGGACCTGGAGGGAAGAACTGACAAAGTGAGCCCCAAACCGCAGCTCTGGGAAGCCATTTCTTGATATTCTCATGGCATTTGTGTCTGCGCCATGCGTGCAGAACATTTTCAGGTTCGCCCATTGTTAATTGGCTTCATGAGCAGGTGGGGTATGAGATGGGATATGATATCAGCCTGCCTGGACTGTTACCAGCTAAGTGATCTTAACGGTGTGTCTGCATCGTCCCCAGCCTGAGTCCCCTCATCCCTGCAGGGCCATTATGAGATCATGCCTATGAAATTCTTTACTAAGAGACTTAGCATGGAATCTGAAAGCTAAGAGGAGACAACAGCCATCCTTCCTAACCAACCATGATTCCAAACAACAAAGGGCCCTCTATTTTATCCCTGGCACTCAGCAGGAACTCACATTTGCCTAGTAGATTTAACATTTCAAAGCACTTTCTCCTAAAACCATGATAGTGTGTCCCCACCAACGTTCTAGTTAGTTAGGCAAGGCAAGAGTTAGCATCACTATTTTTAAATGTAAAAATCAGAGCAACCAGTAGAAGACAGATCTTCGGGCTTTGAGTCCAATAATATTTTCACTACTTTGCCCTCTCTGCTTTGCAAATAGGGACTCAATAAATATTTGTTGAACATACCATTTCAGGGACCCAAACAAGAAGTCCAAAATACAAGATGCATTCATCCTGCAACCAGACAAGTGCCCTGCGCTGATTTTTCTCTGATGACAGGTTATTAAGATGATCAAGGTGACAGGACTTGTCTGTATATATCTTTGAATCCCCCACAGCACCAGAAAGTGTGCTAACATAGTAACCGGGATGTATTTTTCTGGCTGATTGATTGATAAATGATAATCAATATACAGATATGGGATGCTCACATGCATTAGAGGCACACCCATGTTTTCATGAGTAAATGAAACACAGAATGAGCTTATGTTCATGTCAATTGCAGTAAAGTGTTGACGCTTAACCCAGAGCACACAATCCTGTACAGCCACCCACCAAGGCAGTCCCTTTGGGAGGGTTTTGTCCCCAGTTAGCCAGAGTCACCTCCCTTCTGCCTGGGCAGTCAGAACTCTGAGAGTTCATCTTTCACAAACACGTTACAAATACTGAAGCCATTCTATGGGTCAGTGCTGAATTTAAGGAGCTACATATCAACTTGAATCAGACTGATTACAACTCCTCTGAACCTAATTGGCAAAACCTAACTGCATTCATGTTTTATTAAAAGCAACTTTCATTACACAGGCGGTGCTGTCAGAAAAATAAATTACATCTGCAAGTACTTAGGTATAAAATTTTGCAGATAACTTCCAGTCGTCGGTAATTTTATATTAGAAACTGTTTTTCCAATACATGCTAAAACTTCGCTCATCGTATTAAACGCACTTTACCTACCACTCTCCAAATATTTATGGGGTTTGTAATATAAGCTTTTTTTTTTTTCCTTCTTTGGAGATTTAGTAAACTGTTTTCTGCCAACTTTATTTTTGGCAGCCTCCCTAGGCCCTTTGGAAACTATAAATTGGTTTGCATTTTATATTCCACTGTTTACTATTCTCCCCTCTTAGAATAGATTCCAATCCATTTTTTAAAAATTAGTGGTAGTTGTTGGCTGCAAAACAAGTGGTTTCTACTTGAAATGACAACAAATGACTCAGATAACCTTAGAGGTGGGAAAAGGACAAAGAAGACCCATTTCGCTCTATACTCTCACTCTGAATCCAACCTTCGAATTCCCACCACGGAGAGCTTTCGCTGACTATACCGACTGTATCTCCACAAGTGCCCTTTCCTTAACTGTACCCCTATTTGCAACCATGCGATTGGGTGTATTTTGTCACCACCATGGTATTCCACATTAGACCTCTGTAGTCCTTCAGAATGCTGTGAACACCAAAAGTTGACAAATAGCAGCTTAAGAAAACAAAACTATTTTGAGATCATTTTGGACGTCCAGAAGCATTGCAAGGACAGCACAGGAAGTTCCCATATACCCTCCACCCAGCATCCTAGTGATAGATCACATCTTCCACATCCATAATGCATTTGCCAAATGGGAGAAATTAACATTGGTACAACCTTTAGCTCATCTATAGACTTCTTTCGGGTTTTGCAAGTTTTCCCACTAAGGTCTTTTTCTGTCCCGGGATTCAGTCCAGGATCCACACTGCATTTAATTTTTGTCTTCTTCATCCCCTCCAATCTATGATGGTTACTTAGCCTCCCCTTGTCTTTTATGACTTAAAGCCTTCGGAAGAGTACTGGCCAGGTATTTTGTACAACGGCTCCAATTTGGGTTTGTATGATGTTTGTCCATGATCGGATTCAGGTTTGCTTTCCTGGGAAGAACACCTCAGGTGAGCAGCTGTGTATCAGGCACATGACAATGCTCTGTCTCATCACAGGCGATGTCACACCTGACCATGGGGACGAGAGGGAAGCTGCCAGCTTCCTCCACTGCGAAGTCACTATTTTTCCTCTTGTAATTAATAAATATTTATCTTGGGGCGGTGGGTGGGGGGGAGATTTCCAGGCTATGCAAATATCTTGTTTTTCCTTAAATGTTTGCCCTCTTAATTTTAACATTAAGTGGAATTCCATCGGTGGAATCTATCTGCAACAATTCTTCCTGTGATGTTCTCATGGTGGTTTTCTATTTTCTTTCTTCTTCCTATGAATTGGAATTCATCTGTAAAGAAGAGTTGGTTTTTCTACTCATGTCTTTACTTATTCAATAATCTATCAGTATGAACTCAAGGGTATTTATGTACTTTTTTAGGTTATAGCAATCATACTGTCATTTGTTTTGTTGCTTACATTTTTCCCAATGCTTTGCTCATTGGGAAATTTCTCAGGTTGGCTCCTGTGGTCTTTTAACACGTACCTCTTCCTTTTTTTTCTGAAAGTACTTCTTCCGTGTCTGGCAACACACTGTGCTCCAGGCTGACGTTGGATTTCCCCTGCCCAAGCCCTGCCATCAACCACTTTTCCAAGGAGATTTAGGCACTAGGAGTCCCCATGGACACTGGGGTGTCATTATTTTTATGCCTTCTCGGGAGACAGAGCTAAGAAATGTGTATCTATGAGTATACACTGACCCACATGTACACACGTATCTGCATTCATTTTTGGAGCCACCTCTCTGCCACATACATTTTGAAAACTAGGAGTCTATACTGATAGCTCACTCTGCGGCAGCACCTCAGGGCTTCGTCTAGCCTTCTCCACTTCCTCATTTGTAACTTCTTCCTCTGACAAGGAGAAACCTGTTTCTCATTATCCACAACATATTTACTTATTTGTCCAAACCTGGTGTACAGGTGAAGTGGCTTCAGAATTGCTAACCCTTCTTGTGACAATTCATTTACTGACTAGAATGCAGGGCCTGCACACCATTCTCTTTGCCTGTAGTCTTACGGTGTCCAGTCAGAACACTGCTTTCCAGAGTTACTTAAGTCAGCTCCGCTCTTCCCCACTCAGTTCACCGCGGTTGTTCTTCATTTGCATCCAAGTTTCATTCATTTGTCGCAAGCTGCATTCCACCTTGGGTTCTCCCCACAATCTGGTTGAGTTTTTTCTTAAATTTATATCAAGGAACGTTCTCACTTTGTGGTATACGGTTTGGACAAACGCATGGAGTTGTGCATGCCCCACTTACAGAACAATTCCATCACCCTCCAAATTCCCTCATGCCGCGCCTTTGTATCCAACCCATCTCCCCACTCCCCATGCCTGCCAATCTCTGGTCTGTTTTCTGTTTCCAAAATTTTGCTTTCTCTGGAATCTCATCAAATGCAATCATACAAGATGTAGCTTTTGAGGTCTAGCTTCTTTCTCTTAGCAAAATGGACTTAAGACACATCGATGGTTTTTATGTCAATCCTGAGTTTGTTCCTTTTTCATTCTCCAGTAATATTCCATTGGGTGGAGTTACCACATTTTGTTTATCCATTCACTAACTGAAGCACACTGGGTAGGTTCTCTTATGCAGCACGTGTTCAGTGGCTTGTCTGTGCAAATGAATGAAGCTTTGTTGCATTCATTTGGTGGATCAGATGACACCCAATTCATGGTGGGCTCAGGTCATGACTTGGTGGCATGTGGTTGCACATTCAGTCTCTACCAAGTCCCCACACAAGGCCAGGAGCTGTTTCTCAAAAGGGGTGTCCTTATCAACATCAATGGCAGGGTTTTGCTCCAAAAATCCTAAGGGCCTGTGTGTTGATTCATCCATAGGGGTCTTCCAAAGTCCCCAGACAACACCCCCCTCTGCCACTGACACCTCAAGCACTGACACCGGGTCTGCTGAGTCATGTGGCCCAGGTGGCAAGGAGCTTGCACAGCAGCCTGCACTGTGTTCTGGGCCCTACTCAAAACTAGCAGCTTTCTGGATCCCTTGGTAAGTGGGCTGGAGCAACACACCCAAAGGAGAAATACGTTGCCTCCAAAATCCAAGGGGCCAC